TGTTAGTTTTTTTTTGTTTCCGTTAATAATAATAACGCTAATAGAATCTGCCAATTTTAGTCAGCTCTTGCCATTTTTATGAGAAAGCTGGCATGTAATGTATCTCTCTTTATATCCCTCTCCTTCCTCTCCCCAATGCAGCTCAATTTTCCCATGCACTTTTTAAATCAGAGATGGATCAGGTGAATGATGCAGTTTAGCTAGAGGCATCCAGCTAATGAGTATTCACTCTTCCCGTAATTTTAATAAAGTTCCATGTTCCAGGCCGCACACATTCTCCCATGCGTCATTTCGGCATAAGACAGCGTGTGGCCTTAGGGCACTGTGCATTCTTTATGTGTTTGTGTTTGTGTTTGTGAGTGTGTCTTTATGACTCACCACCCACTCCAAAGGCAATAAGCTTTGGAGGAATCATTACACTTTTACATTTCCCCAGGAGTCCCCTCTGCAGCTCCGCACTGTCAGTCTGATCTAAAATCTCTCTCAATTCTTTAGCTGACACGAGACCGAGAACAGATTTTGCATTTCATTACTCTGCTCATTATGGTCCCGAAACGTCAAATTCAAGTTTAACACAAAGGAGGGTTCGGTCAGGAATAGACTTTAAAGGGCAGCTTATATGAACAAGGCAATGCAGGATATGACTTCACTTCCTGTGTAGTGTTATTGACCTTATAGGGTCTATAGGGGGCTAATGAGCCAAATACCAAGAACAGAAATGAGTCTGTCCATTTTGATGACATCATTCTTTCTGTTTTATTTATTGATTTAGTCATTTATCAGACGCTTTTATCCAAAGCGACTTACATATGAGGACAACAGAAGCAATCAGTTGTAGTATTAAAACAACTAAAAACAGATCCAAAGCTAAAACTTTATAAATACCACCTATATACATTTAAAAAAAAATAGAGATTAAATAAAAATGACAAATGCATACAACAAAATTTCAAAACTTAACATTTAAATGAAAAACAAAAAATAAAGCTAAAAACAATTCAAAATATTAAAGAACAAAAGGTATAAGAGTATAATAATGATTCTAACATAACACTAAGCCAAACACCAAAAAAAACAACTACATGCTTGTATGTACAACCACACACACACACACACATATATATATATATATATACATACATACATACATACATACATACACATTTTTAAATTCAATATATATATTATTTAATTTCCATTTAGTTTGTTGAAGTATTAAAATAACTCAAATTAAATACAACTAAACAAGTAAAAACCTATACAGACATAATAAATTCAGACATAATTTAACTAAAATTAAAATAAATAACAAATACAAATAATACAAATCAAATGACAGTAGTTTATCAGTAATCCTAAAAAATAACACTGCCAAACACACATGCTAAAAAACAACAACTTACTTACACATAGTAAGAAATGGTTATAAAAACTGAAACCGAAGCGAAACAAGTAATAGTAAAGGGGAGAAATAAAAAGCTATACTTATCCTTTGTCCCTGCCCGGTGGAGTCGCATGGTTGAGTCGATGGTCTTTACACTCTTCGGTCTTCACACGAGGACGTGGTAAACTAAAGGGCCTTTCGCACCGCGGGAACCTTTTCATAGTACCAGAACTAATTGTGGAACTACCCACTTTTTGGCATTTTCGCACCGCCGGAACTGGGTGCGATTTTAGTACAGGACTGCCTTTTTCGAGAACCAAATTAGCTCCTACTCCGGAGCAGGGTCTAACCAGCACAACTGGTACTACCCGTGACGTAAGTAGACATTGATTGGCCAAACGCGTATGAAAACGCCCTCACCCGCCATGATTTAAAACGCTGTGCAAACATACTGTAAACATTGTCAACTTATTTCGCAAGTATGGAGAACAGCGATAGATGGACGGACGCTGAAGAGCAGGCACTTGTAGCAAATTTAGCACTGCCAGTTGTCATTGGAGATTCTTAGTTCTCCTTTCCGTTCTTTCAATCGCTTTACGTATACGTCGACTTTCCATGTCCATTATTGTGAAACCCGCGAGACACAACAAACACACAGCTCTTATCACAGCGTCCTCCATCCTCCTGTTGTTCTTTGTTTCTGTTGTTGCACGCCGCGCACAAATGACGACGCTGTCGACCGACTTACGTCACTTCTTAATACACACTGTCGGTGCGAATGCAACCCTTTAAATGGTACTGGGAAATAGTTCGCGCAAATTCGTCCCAGTATTTTAGTACTGTACATTTAGTTCTGGAACTAAAGTGGTGCGAAAGGCCCATAAGCTTACCCTTAGTTTACCCTTCTAACAAAATACTACATTAATTCAGCTGGACACACTTTCCATATTTTCTCCACAACAAATGTCCAAGCAAGCGCAGACACTGACAAGATACGCGACCAAACGCGGTATTGCTATGTGAGATGCTTCCTGTTCCCATTGGTGAGAAGACCGCGGCTTGGGGTGGAGGGAATGGACTATCACGCTAATATTCTTTCTTTCATGCCAAAAACTCATTCACTTTTTTTCTCTGACATTGTAGTTGGTTTATCTCAAACGGATTGCGTATGTCAGTGCAGGTACTTATAACTTATTTTTTTTCTGTGGAAAAATCTCATAAAACCTATATTGAAGGGGACATATCTGAATACTAGAATGTCACAGAGACTTTTGGCTAGTAAACAACCATCTTCTAACCATCCACAACACTCTAGTATCATAAGGGCAAGGTTTGGACAGCCTCTACAACTGTTTGGGCTTTATATTAAACAAGTTTGAAACACCATGAGGGTAAATACAGTGGGGAAAAAAAGTATTTAGTCAGCCACCAATTGTGCAAGTTCTCCCAATTAAAACAAATTGCAAATTTTTTCTTGATTATACTTGATTTTTCAACTCTATATACTTGAGTATATAGAGTTGGTTTAGAATAATGTCTTTGGTGACATTCTAGCCTATTAAGAATCGCAATGTAGTGATCCGATTATTAGTGCTCGTGTTATTGTTTTGAACACTTTGCCTCTTTCTCTTGCTTTCATAGTGTTTGTGAGCTGTTCTCACTGGTAGAAGGCACCATCTTGTTTGTCATTTCCTCAACCCTTATGTTATTTGTGTCTGGGGAACATTAGCCTCTGGCTCAGTACGGCTTTTTGTGAATATTAAAGGCCTGTATGTGGCACGTGTGCACTACCCATCCTACAGCGCCTTTATTTTCCAGTCATTTAACTTGAGATCCATTTAGAGCCTATTCATTCCAAAATTATATTTATTTGAGCTCAGGAAACATTTTCTGACATGGCTTACACGGAGACTGGCTTCAGATTGTCCCAGTTGACGATTTGAGTTCATAATAAAACTATTCAAAATCTTTTTTGTTAGCTTAAATAAAGCTGTAATACAATAAAATATAAATATTAGACAATAAACATAAACTTAAATACAAAAACCTAAACAAAAATGAGAATTGTTGCCTTGGAAATAAGTTACTAAAATGACTAAAACTGAAATAAAATTGAATTAAAGCCATATGCAAACAGTTTTAAAAAAAAAAGAAAAAACGTATAATAATGACACAAAAACCGCATACATTACTTAAAACCGTAATCTAAAAATGAAAACTGGAAATATAAGCTAATTTAAAATATTAATATTAATACTATAATGCTTGCAGTACTGTAGCTTTTACTTAAAGGGGTCATATGATGTTGCTAAAAAGAACATTATTTTGTGTATTTTGGTGTAATGAAATGTGTTTATGCGGTTTAAAGTTCAAAAAACACATTTTCCACATAATGTACATTATTGTTTCTCCTCTATGCCCCACCTTTCTGAAACGCATCGATTTTGACAAATCTCATTGTTCTGAAAAGCGAGGTATGCTCTGATTGGCCAGCTATCCAGTGCATTGTGATTGGCCGAATACCTCAAGCATGTGACAGAAATGTTACGCCCCTTACCATATGATGTTATGGTATTTTTGCCTAGCATATGCAAAAATGTCCAGGCCGGAGCTACGAGACAAAAACATTAAAACCCATTATAAATAAGGCATTTGTTGCATCCAGTGGGGACATAATTACGGATTATAATGACTTATACTGTCTGTCTCGTGTAAACATGAAACCATGTCTGCATTTGTGATCGGAGAAATGACAAACAACAAGCGCTAAAGCCCCCTTTAAACCCCTTTAAAGTGAAGGCCAAGTGCATAAAGCAGAATTTATTAAAGTGTATGTCTAATGCTATTCATGCATTTTGACTTATTTGCACTGTTAAAGAGTTGGTTTCTCATGGCCAAAGTTTCAAAAAACAAGTTGAACATATGACGGAGTATTTCTGTGCCAAATACACTCCTTCAGGGTTCGTATTAGTTTCAGAAAGTTTATTTTTCGAGTATGGCTCTGTATGACATCATAAAGAGCGGAATTCCTTGTATGGGCACTACTCCAGGAAGAGTGCACCCACACATCAACCAGAGCGAGAGCAGCCCATCAACATGCTTAATTTGGGTTATGGAAGTCGTCGGCAGCGTTGATAGTTAATTTAAGCCAATAAAGTTTTTGTCCCGGTTTTATTTATGTCGATGTCACAGCTTGTAGTTGATCGATATGCACAAGCTGCGCGTGCTTGTGATTTTTAAGCTCCGCCCACGACAACTGTTTTCGGAGAGAAGTGGAACAGCTCTATATGTCTTTTAGAAATGTGATAAAACTAAAGACTCTTCTGAGATATGAAGGATGCAATGACTTCATTTGTTGTATGTTACTTTTTTCCATGTTTTTCAGCAGTTGTAATGAAATATGGTAAAATGTGCACACTTAGTGGTAGTTAAAACCAGGCAAATTTTTTTTTATAAAAATCATGCAAGAGGTGAGGGATGTGTAAAACTTTGTGAATGACAGGTGTTCCAGATCTGTGGAAATCTCTCTGCGAATTTCTGCATGTGCATATTCCGAGAGGGCCTGATGATTACAATGTGTGAACTAATTGTAACTTTTCACCTTGTGACTTTTCAGTGTTGCCGTGGGAGTTGGTTTCTATGGAAACAGTGAAACCAATGATGGGGTGTACCAGCTGACCTATTCTCTCTATAATGCCAATCACACGCTGGCGGGAGTGGACAGTTTGGTAAGTACAAATATAGCAGTGCTGACTATAAATAACACACTGAGACTGTTTTTGACTCCCTGACCAACTTTAGTCTTGACAGATTTCAGCTGAAATGTCCCAGTAGTCTCGCTGACTTCTCTCAAGCAAACTTACTCCCTCTAAAGGCTCTAGCATTATGTATTTTCCCTCCCTGCAAATAGTTCTGCACTTTCAATCAAAGCGTTCCTTCCAACCAAACCTCAGCCAGATGGTCCCTATATCCCATTCAGTTGCCTGCTCCTGTGAAATCTTTTTTTGTGCCAATCTGCACTGCTAAAATTTAATGGGTTCCCCACTGAGTGCATGATTGATTTTCTGACATCCCTTTGCAATAGCAAGGACACCGCTGAAGATATATGCAGCTACATGCAACCGCTCAGTCTCTCTGGAAAGATGTGAACGACAAGGGGTGTATCTGTGTGTATTAGAAAACACACACACCCTCTAGTGTGTTTCTGTGATATGGAATGGTTGGAGAAAATACCTCAAATTGTTTTTTACAGCCTTTTATGTTTGTGCAGTTAATATGAAGGCCTCTTTTGAAAAAACGTATAATAATGACACAAAAACCGCATACATTACTTAAAACCGTAATCTAAAAATGAAAACTGGAAATATAAGCTAATTTAAAATATTAATATTAATACTATAATGCTTGCAGTACTGTAGCTTTTACTTAAAGGTGTCATATGATGTTGCTAAAAAGAACATTATTTTGTGTATTTTGGTGTAATGAAATGTGTTTATGCGGTTTAAAGTTCAAAAAACACATTTTCCACATAATGTACATTATTGTTTCTCCTCTATGCCCCACCTTTCTGAAACGCATCGATTTTGACAAATCTCATTGTTCTGAAAAGCGAGGTATGCTCTGATTGGCCAGCTATCCAGTGCATTGTGATTGGCCGAATACCTCAAGCATGTGACAGAAATGTTACGCCCCTTACCATATGATGTTATGGTATTTTTGCCTAGCATATGCAAAAATGTCCAGGCCGGAGCTACGAGACAAAAACATTAAAACCCATTATAAATAAGGCATTTGTTGCATCCAGTGGGGACATAATTACGGATTATAATGACTTATACTGTCTGTCTCGTGTAAACATGAAACCATGTCTGCATTTGTGATCGGAGAAATGACAAACAACAAGCGCTAAAGCCCCCTTTAAACCCCTTTAAAGTGAAGGCCAAGTGCATAAAGCAGAATTTATTAAAGTGTATGTCTAATGCTATTCATGCATTTTGACTTATTTGCACTGTTAAAGAGTTGGTTTCTCATGGCCAAAGTTTCAAAAAACAAGTTGAACATATGACGGAGTATTTCTGTGCCAAATACACTCCTTCAGGGTTCGTATTAGTTTCAGAAAGTTTATTTTTCGAGTATGGCTCTGTATGACATCATAAAGAGCGGAATTCCTTGTATGGGCACTACTCCAGGAAGAGTGCACCCACACATCAACCAGAGCGAGAGCAGCCCATCAACATGCTTAATTTGGGTTATGGAAGTCGTCGGCAGCGTTGATAGTTAATTTAAGCCAATAAAGTTTTTGTCCCGGTTTTATTTATGTCGATGTCACAGCTTGTAGTTGATCGATATGCACAAGCTGCGCGTGCTTGTGATTTTTAAGCTCCGCCCACGACAACTGTTTTCGGAGAGAAGTGGAACAGCTCTATATGTCTTTTAGAAATGTGATAAAACTAAAGACTCTTCTGAGATATGAAGGATGCAATGACTTCATTTGTTGTATGTTACTTTTTTCCATGTTTTTCAGCAGTTGTAATGAAATATGGTAAAATGTGCACACTTAGTGGTAGTTAAAACCAGGCAAATTTTTTTTTATAAAAATCATGCAAGAGGTGAGGGATGTGTAAAACTTTGTGAATGACAGGTGTTCCAGATCTGTGGAAATCTCTCTGCGAATTTCTGCATGTGCATATTCCGAGAGGGCCTGATGATTACAATGTGTGAACTAATTGTAACTTTTCACCTTGTGACTTTTCAGTGTTGCCGTGGGAGTTGGTTTCTATGGAAACAGTGAAACCAATGATGGGGTGTACCAGCTGACCTATTCTCTCTATAATGCCAATCACACGCTGGCGGGAGTGGACAGTTTGGTAAGTACAAATATAGCAGTGCTGACTATAAATAACACACTGAGACTGTTTTTGACTCCCTGACCAACTTTAGTCTTGACAGATTTCAGCTGAAATGTCCCAGTAGTCTCGCTGACTTCTCTCAAGCAAACTTACTCCCTCTAAAGGCTCTAGCATTATGTATTTTCCCTCCCTGCAAATAGTTCTGCACTTTCAATCAAAGCGTTCCTTCCAACCAAACCTCAGCCAGATGGTCCCTATATCCCATTCAGTTGCCTGCTCCTGTGAAATCTTTTTTTGTGCCAATCTGCACTGCTAAAATTTAATGGGTTCCCCACTGAGTGCATGATTGATTTTCTGACATCCCTTTGCAATAGCAAGGACACCGCTGAAGATATATGCAGCTACATGCAACCGCTCAGTCTCTCTGGAAAGATGTGAACGACAAGGGGTGTATCTGTGTGTATTAGAAAACACACACACCCTCTAGTGTGTTTCTGTGATATGGAATGGTTGGAGAAAATACCTCAAATTGTTTTTTACAGCCTTTTATGTTTGTGCAGTTAATATGAAGGCCTCTTTTTCCTTTTCGTCATTGTCCCTTTCAAGGCCCTGAAGGCTGGGGCATGAATAAAACCTAATTCATGTATCTTCTGCCAGACCTATTTATATCCGTCTCCGTTTTCTGATTCAAATGCGTAGAGCTGACAGTGACACTAAGATGCTTTAATCCTGCTTCACGCACCAATTTCATGCACTCGGTAGGGCCTTTCATGCCTCTGGTTGTGAGTTTTAGCTATTTCATTGCCTGGTGGACTGAAAGACTGCAAAAGCAATGATTAGTTCACATTTTCCCCCTCGTTAAAGGTGTGTGTAAAAGTGTGTATCTATCTATCTGTCTATCTATCATTATTTTGCTCTATCTATCATATCATTCTGTTTATCTGTCCGTCTGTCATTCTATTGTTCTATCATTCTCTCTGCTATCCGTCCATCCATCCATTCGTTTTATTTGACCATCCAATAATCCATCCATCATTCTGTCATTCTATTTCTCTGTTCATCCAGCTTTCTAACTGTCCATCCATCCATTATTCAGTCCATTCATCCATCCGTCATCCATTCATCCATCTGTCTGTCTATCGTTCTGTTGTCCATCCATGCATCCATCTATCATTCAGTCCGTCCGTCCATCCATCCATCCATTCATCCATCTGTCTGTCTATCGTTCTGTTGTCCATCCATGCATCCATCCACCCGTCGATCCATTGTTCTGTCCATCCATCCACCGTTCCATCGTTCTTTCTAACGGTCCGTTGCTCCATCACTCTATCCATCATTCCATTGCTCTGTCTTTTGTTCCATCTATCTATCAATCCATCTGTCTCTCCGCACATACATACAGCTGCTATTAAAAGATGTTGTAAGAAGAAGACAATTTGAGAGTCACACCTGTTAGTAAAACAGTCATAATTCCCAGATACTGTCAGTTTGAGGTCACTGGACATTATCCCAACTCTAGTGATGACATCATCAACCCGAAGCTAACCTTATTTTTATTTCCAAGTGTGTAGCTGATGACAAATGTATTTACTTCCATATAGATCTTAACAAAATTGTGCAAGTTTGAGTGCAAACATCTCACAAGCTATAGATCAGTAATCTACAGCTGTTCAGCTCACTTACACCTGTTGTACGAGCCTTCAGGGAAGTGTTTATGCTGTGGTTCTGAACTGAACGAAGACTGAAGGCGCTCCAAGCATCTGCCCGCTTATACCATTGAGGAGTTGAGGATTAACTCCCCTTCTGCACTAATGGAGATTAATGCATCTCTTTCCGTCTCCCTCTGAATTATGAGGCACACACTTATCTGAGGTAAACTTGATTCCCTCAACACATTCTCTGAGTCATCACAAGCTAAAAGGCAGAACTGACCTAGGAACTGCACTTTCGGAGGAAAAATCAGCCATAATTTTCATTCGCAGTCTCCCTCATAGAGCACATTGTTATGAAAAAATTATGTAATGATGCTCAGAAGGACTAGAGATGTTTTTGATATTCGGGTCATGACCTCAGATTAGTGTCAGCTAGCTTCAAGAATCATAAATACATTTATCTAAGCCTGCCATCAAGTAGAAGAGACCCTCCATTCTTGGATTTCTCCTTAGAGACCAGGTCCTTCAAATGGTACAAAGTGTCCACTGTCTGAAAACCCAGCATGCTGTGCCCATAATTAGCCATGAACCCTGCGACAAAGGCTTTGATGAAGTCACTCATGGAAATCTTTGACTTCCTGATTGAGGCTCTTCAATGGTTCTGCCTGCCTGAAAACAATGATTTAATTTGGCATCCATTGTACACAGATGCTCATTCTCTCTCTCTCTCTCTCTCTCTCTCTCTCTCTCTCTCACTCACTCACTCACTCACTCACGCACACACACTCTTTTTGTTTGAAAGTACTGGACTGCCCTTTCAAAGGAGTCAAGAGAAGGAATAGTAGGACTTGTTTTTTGCAGGAGTGTTGAGCGTTGACTGCTTGGTTTGAGGGTTTATTGGTTCTGGGCCATAAGGTCTCTTGTTTACCTCCTCTCAGCACCCCCTCTGTGCTTGCAAATGAACTGTGGCTTCCTGTGTGGATCTGTTTTGTGTTCACAGAGGCACCTAGGGATTAACAAGAACTTAAATTGAGTTACAGGAGAACCATAATGCTGTACATACATTTTAAGGCAAGTTGTTACTTTTGTGTTTTTTTATTAATAATTATTTAATTTATTATTGACTGTATTATAGACTTTAAATAGTCCACAATATGAATATTTTAAAAGCAGATATCGTGTACCTTTGTATTATTATTATTATTATTTATTCTCAATATTGTTATT